ATTTGTAAGGTTAAGTGAAACATCAGTATTTGTAAGGTTAAGTGAAACATCGGTATTTGTAAGGTTATGTGAAACATCAGTATTTGTAAGGCTAAGTGAAACATCGGTATTTGTAAGGTTAAGTGAAACATTGGTATTTGTAAGGTTATGTGAAACATCGGTATTTGTAAGGCTAAGTGAAACATTGGTATTTGTAAGGCTATGTGAAACATCGGTATTTGTAAGGCTAAGTGAAACATTGGTATTTGTAAGGCTAAGTAAAACATTGGTATTTGTAAGGCTATGTGAAACATCGGTATTTGTAAGGCTAAGTAAAACATCAGTATTTGTAAGGTTAAGTGAAACATCGGTATTTGTAAGGTTATGTGAAACATCGGTATTTGTAAGGCTAAGTGAAACATCGGTATTTGTAAGGTTAAGTAAAACATCAGTATTTGTAAGGCTAAGTGAAACATCGGTATTTGTAAGGTTAAGTGAAACATCGGTATTTATAAGGTTAAATGAAACATCGGTATTTATAAGGTTAAGTGAAACATGAGTATTATGAGATCACCACAGTAGTGTAAAGGTAGATACTCGAACAGTATATGCAGGTAAATTAGTGTTTTTTACTAACTGATTACTTTAACTTCATGTGCTACATACACACTTACCTGACTGAAATTATTTAGGGCTTTATGAAGATTTGCAAACATTCCAGTTGGAGGTTCATTGGTAATCTTGATAGAAGACTCGAGGATCCCCTGAGGAATAATATGAGCATCTGGAGTACCTGCAGGCTCAGCACTCATGAACACCCTGAAATCAGAGTGACTGCCTTCACTAAATTGTTCCAACAGTTTTTCTAAAGACGGAAGCCAGCTCTTCACCAGGTGAATATTCTGTAAAATAATACAAGTATGAACCCTGCTTTAGTGATGGGAGCACAGGTAGTTAGTATGTGATAAACAATGCAATCTCTACACCCACCACACACACACAGTATAAACTGTATACATACAGTATTACCAACAAGATCCTAAAACTGTGGCTTACATAATCTGTACAGTGACACAGATATATTTTATAACATAACAAGATGTGAATACTATATTTCCCACCATCAAAGTTTCCTAATTAAACTTCTATTTCTCAGTAAAAGCTGAACATTTCTCGACACACACACCTGTAGAATAACCCAATGACCCTGCTCAGCTGCAACCTTTAATGCCCGTTCAGCCACCACTTCTTGTCCTTGGCCAAGTGATACGTTATGAAAACTGCCGCTATCAAAAGTAAACCCTATCTTTTTCCCATACACTTCTACATCCTTTAGGGGGTCCACTCCTGGGGAAAGGATGAAAAAAATTGGAGTGGAAGGGCTGGACTCCTCAAAAGACTTGGCAAATTCCATCGTGTGACCTTCAACATATTTACTGCCCAGTTTCTCCTCAACAAACTTCCTGAAAAAATATATTACTTTAGGTGAATGTTTTTTACATAAAATAGTATCAGCATCAGAAGAGCTAACACACTCGTGATTCTATAATAAGATAGTTGAATAAGGCATAAAAATAACTTAATATTCATTTTTCATGTTATTCAAACATGTTAGATTATAATTTAGGAAAAGCCTCACAGAAAGATGATCCATAGAAGAAAAACATCAAACTTACTCTATACCTTACATAGATGAGCTCAAAACACTAATTACAAAGTTATTGTATACGAGGTACTAAACGTTTTATCCATATGTTAATAAAATTCATTATATAATGTGATATGGTTATTTGAATGTTGATCCTTCTGTAAAGAAGTTATCAAAGGACTTAAGATCTCATTTGATAACCAACAAATGTGCTCACAAAATGATCCAACAAACTATTAAACCAGTTCCTGGAAGATAAAATCATATGATCCAACAAACTATTAAACCAGTTTCTGGAAGATAAAATCACATAATCCAACAAACTTGAACTTTCAGACTTTTTCAACTGAATTACAGCATGGTGTAACAAGTGGCAGATTTTTATCAATCTCAAAAACTCAGGTGATTATTTTCCACAAAAGTTGAGATAATAAATTTATTAAAGAAAGACGCACTGAAATATAAAACACACTCATAATTAACGTTTTTTGGTAGTACATTCAATAATCAGTTCATACTTCTGTAAATTCCACATCTTTGATGTACAGAAAATCACATTTATGGGTCTAAATCTTTCACTCTTTTACATATCTAAAAAGATTACGTTAGATCACTAATGGAATACAGCTGTATGATAAACTACAAACACTTCAAATCTGTGTATTACATATAGCACTCCCTTTCAAACCTATACTCCGGTTAAAAGGGGTAATAAGTTTTCCATGAGGAGGGGGTGGTGATTGTTATGGTAGAAAATTGTGTTGAGAAATATTTCCTTTTTGTAAATTTATGTAATATGTTCTCAACTGTTGGAATGGTTGAGACTTTATCTACGTCGGATGTCGGTTAAAAGGGGTAATAAGTTTTCCATGAGGAGGGGGTGGTGATTGTTATGGTAGAAAATTGTGTTGAGAAATATTTCCTTTTTGTAAATTTATGTAATATGTTCTCAACTGTTGGAATGGTTGAGACTTTATCTACGTCGGATGTCTTTTCATAGACACTAGAAAACTACACTTTTTTTGTAGGAATTTGGTGTTTAATACTTGGGGTTTTGAGAAATTAGAAAATGGAGTGCCCAAATAAAAACTTTCATTTGTTCTGCACTGAAAAGTCTACTCAGCCAGTGCTCAAGCTGGAACTGAAGAGAAATGCTATTATAATGTCAAGATATGTTTGAATTTTAAACAAAATAATCAATCTAAAATCACTTACAGTGAAAGTAAAGTCTCTCCATTTGGTAATTAACACCTGTAAAACCATAGACACTGAAACTGCTACTAAGTGTTGAGGAGGTTTTACAGGTGTAACACTTAGTAGCAGTTTCTCCTCGTAGACACTACACCTGTAAAACCTGTTTTCCCTTTCTCAGTATGTTAGTTTTATTTGAAATAACTAGTTCACTAACATGAGATTTATACTGTCATGTAAGTGTTTTCCCTTTCTCAGTGTGTTAATTTTATTTGAAATAACTAGTTCACTAACACGTGATTCACAGATTTAATGTCAGGCCTTGTCAGTACTTGGGAGGGTGACGATGGCACTAATACTTTACTGGCACAGCAGTAAGTCTCAAGGCTTATAAGACTGAAATCCAGATTTCAGTATTCATGGTGAGCACAGCACATACAGTCCATTGTGTAACATTGTGCTTAACAAGAAGCCAACAAACACAGACTTCAATCCTGATAAGTTGAACTGTTATCTTCAGATAAGTGATGACCTTACTTTACAACATTTCATCTACAAAACTTATAGACATCGACACAGCTGCTCAGTGTTTCACTTGTAAAACCTCGTCAGTCTCTAACACTGCTGCTCAGTGTTTCACTTGTAAAACCTCCTCAGTCTCTAACACAGCTGCTCAGTGTTTCACTTGTAAAACCTCCTAAGTCTCTAACTCTGCTGCTCAGTGTCATAGTTTTTCTATTTCTAGATACACTAAAAGTATCAGCACATTTTTATAACTAGAATATCTTGATTCTGTATTTTCATATTCAATTCTAAATGTTGTCAGTAACAGCTTTTGATGCAATGTTTGCATAGAGATAGCATCATTTATAGAAAAATATTGTTCATTAATACTTAATGTTGATCTCAGTGTGGCAACATTGTATTTTAAATTTACAAAATATATATTCACTAAAATGATATTTCCCGAAGTATAGAAAAAAAGTAAAAATAGATAATTTGAAAATTTTTTAAAAGTATGATTATAAACTAACCATTTAGTGATTTTGTCAACTCACAAAATACACGGTTGGTTGAAACCGTTTATATGAGAGTACGTTTTTTATTATTAAGGAATTGTTTGTGTGTATGTTCATAATGAAATAATAATATTCTATATAGACATTATCTGCTATGGAAGAATTTGGAAACTTAGACAGAGATATCGAAGGTTCTGCTAAACGCTGGAAGAAATTTGTTGACAATGAATGTCCTGAGAAAGAAAAACTTCCTCAAGAATGGAAAAACAAATCATCACTCCAACAGTTGTGTGTTATGAGATGCTTGAGACCTGACCGGATGACCTATGCTGTCATGTAAGTATTTTCCATTTCTCAGAATGTTAGTTTTTATTTGAAATAACTAGTTCACTAACATGAGATTCATACTGTCATGTAAGTGTTTTCCCTTTCTCAGTATGTTAGTTTTATTTGAAATAACTAGTTCACTAACATGAGATTCATACTGTCATGTAAGTGTTTTCCCTTTCTCAGTATGTTAGTTTTATTTGAAATAACTAGTTCACTAACATGAGATTCATACTGTCATGTAAGTATTACCTACATACATCAACTTCAGTAATAGTTTTTCTAGATACAGTATCATCTACATACATCAACTTCAGTAATAGTCTTTCTAGATACAGTATCATTTACATACATCAACTTCAGTAATAGTCTTTCTAGATACAGTATCATCTACATACATCAACTCCAGTAACAGTCTTTCTAGATACAATACTACCTACATACATCAACTTCAGTTATCTAGAAAGACTGTTACTGAAGTTGATGTATGTAGATGATACTGTATCTAGAAAGACTTTTTAACTCTTCATTTTAACTCTCTTTATTCCAGAGCTATTAAGATTGGTGATAAAGAAGTGGAATATAATGAGGATTTTAAGTTAATCTTACACACCAAATTGGCTAACCCCCATTACAAACCAGAAATGCAAGCCCAGACAACATTAATAAATTTCACAGTTACCAGGGATGGGTTAGAAGATCAACTGTTAGCCAAGGTTGTCAGCAAGGAAAGACCTGACTTGGAGCAGCTGAAAGTAGGTTTTATACACCATTCATGTACCTTTAGAGAATTAAGCTTTGATGCTGTGCAGATGTGATCTTCTAAATGAGATGAAGTTACAGAGTATTGAAAATATTTACAAGTTTTGTGTTTGAAGAAGCATTTTCTTTATTTTATACATATGGCTGAAACTCTTTGTTGTGCATTACAAATACTTAAATCTCAAACATCATTTGAAATTGTTAGTATGGTAACATCTGACTGATATTAGTTGCTGTCTTAGTTTGTATTTAACTCTATTTTTTTTATTCAGGCTAATCTAACAAAACAGCAGAATGACTTTAAAATAAAACTAAAAGAACTCGAAGACTCCTTGTTGTCCCGGCTTTCTGCCGCCGAAGGTAACTTTTTAGGTGATACGGCTCTGGTAGAAAACCTGGAAATCACGAAGCGTACTGCAGCAGAGATTGAAATCAAAGTAGCTGAAGCAAGAGAAACAGAAGTCGAGATCAACGAAACAAGAGAGGTCTATCGACCTGCTGCTACACGATCGTCACTCTTATACTTCATCCTAAACGACCTCAATAAGATCAACCCCATATATCAGTTTTCTCTAAAGGTATCTTGAAGGAGATAATATGTAGTTTTTGTCTCATATTAAGCTAGTTTCTAAAACATTTATTTGCCATTGTTTTTATTTTTGGTTCCTACAACAAATGTAGCATTTTCTAGTTTATGTAAACTAGGTAGTCTTTATTCTTATTGTTTACTTTGCTACACAATGGACTGTCTGCACTCTGTCCACTATGGGAATCAAACCCTAGATTTTAGTGTTGTAAGTCCATAAACTTGCCACAGATCCATCGGGGGACAACTAGGTAATCTTGTATTAAAGCACTTAAGCTCCTTTCACAAGGTTGAAATTGTTCTAAAAATTATTAATTTCACATTAAGACAGAATTTCTAAAAAGTTTGATTAAAACTGGAACTGTGACCACTAACATTTTCACAGTCCTGAGAATGTTCCTTTTATCTTTATAGGCTTTTAATGTGGTTTTTCATAAAGCTATTGAGCGAGCAGATCAGAGTGAAGATGTGAAACAGAGAGTAGAGAACCTTATTGATTGTATCACTTTCTCAGTTTTTGTCTACACTTCCAGAGGACTTTTTGAGAATGATAAGATAATCTTTACAGCTCAAATGGCTTTTCAGGTGAGTCTTGTGTATACTTTTATTTCTGTTTGAACGAAATTATCGAGTGTCATGTTAACAACCCCGATTATAACTGAACATAATTTATTTAATTTTGTATACCTATTAGAGTTGGCAGAATTCAAACTTTTATTTTTACAGTAATGCATTAACTCTAGTTTTTACCAGGTTTTTTATTAATAGACTGATTTATTCATAAGTATTGTTAAGTGACATTCAAAACAGTGGTCTTATTATTTATTTATTTTATTGTCTTGAATAATAATTATTAGGAAATAGTGTTATTTGGCTTTTTTTACAAGCTTTTCTGAAATTTGCTACAAGTATTGAGAGCTATTTGAGTTTCGTCTTCATTAATTTAAGTTGATCAACATCTTCTTTATTCTGTACTTTGTTTTCTTTTCTGTTGTACATGTACAAATGATTTTTTTTTTCTCTTAACAGAGAGATTTGGATTTTTAGTACATTGTTGTTTTTGTATGAACCTGCTATATAATTACATGGATGTAGCTGGAAACTGGTTGAGGTTGTTAACTGATTTCATTGTTAAGTAACTTATGTTTGGTTTGATATTGTTGAAATAAAGGTTTGGTTTTAAGTTATTGATTAACAATGTAAATGTTGTAAAAATATCAAAACTTTGTTGCTTGTAATGAAAATAACATGTCTGATATCGTCTTCCCAAATTTCTCTATCTTAACTTACAAACTTAACCAGAATATTACAGAAGAAATCATGAAATTAAATTGGTATAATTTGATAATACTGGAGTTGTTTTTAATAGAGTTGATGGAATAGCTCTTGAGTATAAACCAGTAATTTGGTGTTTTGACAGTTCATAATGTTCTTCGTAAAAAAAAATCGAATGCATTGTTTCGTCAGTTTTTATCCTCACTGTTAACAACAATTTGTATATAAACCCAATAATGTTTCACTAGATATAGATACCGTAGATCTAAATCCCTATACAAAGCTAACAATGAAAAATAATCTATGTAATAAAAATGTATTAATTAGAATTATTTAAGATTGATTATATTAAGGAAGAATAGAATACACCTTAGTTATGAAACACTAGTTGTTAGTTTGAATAATTTGTTTAAACCCATATTATATCAACCCCTTTACCTGCTGCTCTTCGTAATGTGTAAAATGTTTGTCTTAAGAACATTACTGTAACAAATGTTTTTTACTGTATGATTGTTATTGATTAACAACGTGTCACATATTTATGTAATTTGATGAGTTTCACAGTGCATAAAGTACAACTATACGAGTAATGCTAGTTGTTAGAAATTTTGTAAGATGTGTTGTATATTTTGTGTTAATTGGGGTTATAGCAATATAATTGTTTTTATGTTTATAAAGGGTTAAAAACAGACACCTTGATAAATATTTCAAATTAACTGATTAGCAGGAATGACAGACTGAAATATACTTTTTTTTATTGCACGATGTGTGATTGTTTAGCTGCTCTTCATTATAATGAGATGTTATTTTTATTCTTTTTAAACTCGTATTACATGTAACTAAACAGCAAAGTAATATCAGATTGTATGTTTTCTTATTTTTAGATCCTCTTATTAAACAAAGAAATTAATGTATCAGATCTTGACTTTTTGTTACGGTTTCCTGTTCAACCAAATGTAATAAGCCCCGTTGACTTCCTGTCCAACATCAGCTGGGGTGGTGTGAAAGTAAGCCTTTTTTTTCCATACATTTTTTCAGGACACAGGCATTTATCACAACTCTTGTTTTTGTAATTATAGTTATTATTCCTAATTTTTGTTTAAATATTTTCACATCACAGTTTATTAAAAGTGTTCTTGCTGTAAAATGTGCTAATTATGATAGCTTATTTCCAGTAATACTTACCTCCATTCACACTACAACTATTACTTGACTGTTAGAGTTTCTTATCCTTTGCCCATCTAAACATTGGTCTGATTTTTGTTCACTTGCTCTAGTCTTTAATTGCCCTTGACAATATCTGTCTCTTGACACTCTCCACGTACGTCAATGTGCCCTCTATCTTGGAACCGTATATAAGCACCTCCTTCAGCTAATATTGTCACTTTTTCTCAATAAAGCAGTTCACTAATGGGTTTCTCTGTAGTACGACTGTTGGAGATACTTTGAGTATTTTTTAGTCGTACCTATTTGATTAAAAAAAAACTTTACGTTTGGCAAGCTGATTTAATGCATGAATTCTCAGATTAATGTATCCAGCATGTAGGCAAATCAGGTCTCTCGTATCCCACCTCTGATATCTATTGTTGCTCATGAATTGGGGTGGGGGGGTCTCTTTTGGTTGAGGCTGTCCATGACCTTATCCACAGTGAGATGGAGACATAGATTCAATCTGGTGGTTTCTCCAGGGTGTTCTGAGGCTGCACTTGCTAGTGATCCTGGATATTCTGGACAGAATTTAGATTTGCTTTTTCTAGCCCATTTCTTTACTCTGTTGGCTTCTCATGAGGCTAATTTGGATCAGTTACCTTTGGCTCCTTTTCTTCCGTTGTATGTCATTTGTGTGATGTTTTGGGTTTTTCCCGGTTGCTTTTGAGTCTAAACCAGAATTTGTACCACAATTAGATGATATATTAACAGTCTGTAGCTTTCATATTAAAAAAAGATAATTTCCAACTTAAATGAATATTATTGGAAGACACTTCATGCTTACATCACAGAGTACTTAACTTTAAAAACAAAGCAGAGAAGAAAAATAGTTCTGAAGATTATCTTAGTAAACAGAATAACCAGTCCCTTCATACTTAGGATACAATATTACCAGATTACTT